CAATCAACATCTTCTGCCTTGATGACCATGGCGAAACAAAATCAGTACGGCACGGCTGGGCACTGGAGAAACGGTGCACTAATCGAGAAGATGTGCGACGCGACTCTCAACTTTGTGTACTTCTCGCGGAGAGAAGTGGTACACTGTACCCAACTGGAAGAAGTCCAATCAACGAACTAGTTCCGCCGTGCCGTGCATCTGTGAGCGAGAATCGGGGCTGAGGGGAAGGAGGGAAATATGATAAGAAGGGGGAGGGTGAGGAAGGAATACGCACTGCAGCAACGACGAAACTCTCAGAGACCCCTGCACCGAATAAGGACAACAATGATGCGCTCCGACACTATGCCCGCCGTGCTCCGTGTAGAAGTTTGGTTGGGGCTATGCATCTACGCACATCGTCTCTCTTCGAGATTTCCAGCCAAGCAAAAGCAACAACGGTGGCCTGCACCCTGCTCATATGTACATAACTCAAAACTTGCGTGGCTGAAGCAGTGGTAGAATGCATTGGCGTGATGAAGTTGTTGTCCTTTTTTGGCCTGGCCGAAGTAATGGCTACGATGCATCCCAACGCTCGTTTTCCAACCGTGTTGGGGGTTTCTCTTGTTTCGAACCGACGTGGAACAGTCAGAACAACCATTTTTGTGAGGACGTCCCACGCGGTTTGCCGTTTTCGAGCCGCCATCCCATTGTTTCGAACCGAGTTCGAACCGTCAGGACAACAATTTTTGTGAGGATGTCCCACGCGGTTTGCCGTTTTCGAACCGCCATCCTTTCGTTTCGAACCGGGTCCGACGCCGTATTTTGAAGGAAGTCCCACGCGAAACGCTCATGTTGCTTTTGTTTCGAACCGGATTGTATTGTTTCGAACCGAGTTCGAACGGTCTTGAGAGCCGACTTTGTGAGGATGCCCCACGCGGTTTGCCGTTTTCGAACCGCCATCCCGCTTGGCTGAATAAGACTTTAATTTAAGGAACCAAGCCCCAGGTTCGAACTCCGCCCCGAAAGCGAGGCACCTCTCCCGCAACATTGTACCAAGCTCCACGTCCCTAACGGGGCGACTAGCGACGTGCGCTGGCATTGCGGACGAAGGATGGATGCACTTTTGCCGACCCGTCAAAAAAGGGCAATCTTTCATCACGGCACAGTAGCAGAGCAAGCCTCAGCCGTGCCCATATGCCGCAGAAGAACGTACAGACCTCAACCGCACCTAGATATGCAGTGCCTCGAGGAGGATTCTGAACAGAAGTGCAGCAAAAGGCTGTCCACGTGAGAGAAGGCACACTGATCGACACGATGTGCGACGCAGCTCTCAACGCAGCAAGGGCTTCTCGCAGGAGCAGGAAGAGATTTCGCAGAAGGCGGAGGGAGGGACGAGGAAGGACAGCAGGGCGCCCTGGCAGCAAAAACCCTTCTTAGAGGCTTTGCCCCGTGCCTCCAGTGGGGCGCGCGCCCCAGCAGAAGATCTCTGACAACAGCGAGTCGAACTTCGTCCCGACTGGGCGTGCCCTCTGGCAGGGCAGGAGGGGGCGACGCGCCCCGCCGCTCCCTGGTCTCCGCTCCTACTCCCACTCGCCTGCTTTATAGCGGCGTAATCCAATCCAACTTCAATCGTGTGCAGATTGTTAGACGCAATGTTGAGACTCAGTGCGCAATCAGTTGAAACATCAAACTACCTCGCGCACGCTCCTTCCTTGCCTGGGAGGCAGCGCGAACACCGACCAAACGGTCGGCCTCGTGGCACGAGAATCCGTGCTGGGGAAAGCCTGTGGCGCGGCAGCGAATGTGCACCGAACCGCCGGCATCAAATATGATGAGGATCTTTTGTCGAGTCTGGCTGCGAGTGTCCACTCCAGGGCACCACTCTGGGACACATTCGCTCGTGGAATGCTGGAAAAGCCCGGAAGGAATGATTCGCTCATGGGGTGACTTGCTGAGAGACAAAAGATGGAAGCCTTCGCATGTGAAGCCCCGACAACGAAAACACAAACTGTCGAAAGCCCCGACGTGCACGGATGCCGGACGGCCTGCGGTGACCTCCTCCTCCACAAAACATCATTTGATGTTACCATAACTTTGTCAGCCAAGTGGCAGTTGAAGGTAGGAGGATGGTGAGACAAGGAGAAGGAGGCGGACGAATACAATGGGAAAGTATTTCAAAGGAATCACGAAGGGGAGAGGAAGAGGAGCGGGAGGAGGGGAGGAGTGGAGAACTTGAAAAATGTGTGTCGTAACAAGGATGATCACCCCCAGTCTCTGGACGTCTAGAATGCTTTGGGGGGGCTGGTTGGAACGCGCCCCACCCCACCCCCCTCAAGAGCCCACAGAACGCGCTCTTGCCAATCCGTGGACCCAATACCATCATGATCATCACTATCATCATGCTAACAATCCTCGGCAACATCATCATGACAAACACCATCACCATCACCGTCATAATCATCGTCATCCGGCATATCCTCTCCCTCTGTCTTATCCTCCCCCTCCGCCTCCTCCATTCTTTCCCTTTATGAATAACACCTTACTGTCACACCCCGAGGCCAGTCGGGAGTGCGGGCTGGGCGTTCCGCCTGAGACTTCATCATCACTTATAGTCCAGAAGCTTAAGGGATGACAACAGGCTCACAGATGGACGGCGGATGGTTTTCAAATCTCGCCTCAACGCCGCGCACACTCGCTTTAAACAATCAGAAGAGCTTCACGGATTGAGGGCGGCTGGCTTTCAGAATGTGGCTCTCGCCATTGCGCCGTGCGCATTCGTTTGGAGCAAGTTGGGAGAGTTTCGCTGATTGAGGGCAGGTCGTTTTCAAAATGTGGCTCTCGCCTTAGCGCCGCACACGTTCGATTGAACATTGCAACAGTTTGACGGATTGAAGGCGGGTCGTTTTCAAATGTGGTTCTCGCCTCAACGCCGCGCAGATACGTCTTGTAGACTTGCAAGAGCTTCACGGATTGAGGGCGGGCCGTGTTCCAAATGTGGCTCTCGCCTTAGCGCCGCGCACATTCGTGCTAAACATTTGCAAGGGTTTCACGGGTTCCCATGGTCAACGTACCAGAAACGATGTTTTGGAGCGGTTCAGGATTGGCAGGGCGCGACAGTGACGTTGATTCGCAGAGCTGACGTCCCAGCAGTGGCGTTCTGGTACGATTCGGGATCGTCCAGACGCAACATTCAAGATGATTCGTGGCGTTGGGGTCCCGAGAAGGTGCTTTGGCACGCATCAGGACCTTCAAACGGTTCTTTCGCAATGGGGCCTTTTCCTCAATACCATGGACAAGGACAGGTGTATTCCAACATCGTTTGTGAGTCTTTGGTTTACACTGGTCCTCCTCCTCCTCCTTCTCCCCCTCCTCCGCCTCCTCCTTCTCGTTTTACTCATTTCGCCACCGTGTCTCTTCCCCATTGCCACCCCTCTCCTTCACCCTCCAGAGAAACATGCACCACCAACATCGCAACACACGAGCGCGAACCCACACAAACACACACACACACATACACACACACACACACATACACACACACTGCAAAAACGGCACCGCTCGGAACCCCCAACAGAGATCGAGTCAGCACGTTAGTGGCATGGCTGAGTACGGATATCAAGACTAGGAGATGGAGGTGGAGGTGGAACAGGCTCATTGTGGACAACAAGTGAAGCAATGCAACTCTTTTCCCCGAAGGTTGTGCTACCGCGCCTTCTGAGATGCAGGGGCTGAACGCGGCGGCGGCTTGGACCAAAACTGCTCGACGCGCCCTCCTGCTGGTGCTGCCGCTAATCCGTCCGCTCACACTCGCTGGGGAAATAAATTACAATAACAATTGACCCAGGTCCTCATCTCCTCCCCATCCTCCTTCTGCTGGAGTGGCCAACAAAAACGGCATGCACACAACTTCTCTGAGGTCCGGATGGATTTCTCGGATCGGCGCTGGACCCCCTCCCTAGCGCGCGGAGCGCGCCAGTGGCGGCGCCGGACGCGCTGCCAGGGTGACCCAACGCCGATCCAAGAAGTCCGGGCGGACCTTCGAGAAGTTATGTTTATGCAATATTTTGTTGTTTGATCTACTCCTCCCTCTCCTCTGCTCCTCTTCCCAAATTGGCGTGATCCTGGACGCCTCTTGCCACTGGAAACACTCGCTCCTGCGGCAGACCCCCACATCGAAGCACAAGGGTTGGCGTAGACAAGCTCGGTTGGCCTGAGAATTACAGCCTGCGTCTCTGCGGACTGTCCCAGCGTGTTACTTCACGGCAGCGTGTTTAGACACGGTTCCGAAGAGAAATCTTTAGTTTCCAACGTGCATCGGGCCATGAACCCTCAGCCGTGGCCACTTGCAAGCAGCGCAATCGCAACGTGCCAAATGCTGCCTGGTAGGGTTTGTGGAAGCTCTCTTCGTGGCCACCACCCCCGTGTCGAGCTCCCCAAGAAGCCCCAAGAGACGTCCACAAGTCCTCTCAGAGGCCCCTTGAGAAGCCAAGCGCACAGAGACAAGCAAGCTGTTCAATTTCTCCTGCCTGCCATCGTAGTTGTTCGCCCCAAGTCGCTGCGAGATGCCTCTATATTGTCCCAAGATCCTCCGCGAGGAGCCCCGAGCGGCCCCACGATGCCCTCGAGATGGCCTAAGGGACTTCCCCAGACGACCTGGACCAACCCAAAGACAGCTCCGAGACGGCTCAGGATGGGCCCAAGGCGGCCCCAAGACGCCCGATGATGGCCCGAGGAACCAGGAAGGCTCCACGAACACCCGCTCCCAGGAGGTCGCGGGACACTCCAATGTTGCCTTGAGATCCCGAGCATGCTCCTCAGGCAAAAACTCTCAAAGGCATGACAGTGGGCTCCAGGGGCTCCAAGCTGCCGAAGTCAGCACCACGAGCGAGCGACCTGTTAGATATTACAACCCTCTAACATCTCAGAAACATATACCACCTGTTACGGCCAGTCCGTCGACACATGACACTCTTCTCGTGGACACTGGACACTCTTCCCTAACCTTCTTCGCCTCGTTCCGACGGGGTGCGTACTGCAAGCTTCGACCTCGTAGTGTGCTTGACGTCCCAGTCACGCCAAGCCATGCAGCGGCAGCCATGGCAGCGGAGCAGCGGTGAAATGACTCACGACGCCAAGGCCTCGCCTCGCAACCCCACTGCTACCACCCCCTTCCTGTGCCTGATGCTCCTCCCCAGCGCAGGGGCACGGATCTGTTTTGTGTTATCCGCGGCGACTGGCCGTTGCTACACTCCAGCACGCAGGCAGATAGGTGGCAAAACAGAGAGGACAACCCACTCACCGATTCAGGAGGCATAGTCGAAATATGTGTCCAGCCCTGCCAGTGAGCAAGTCTTCTCAATGTAATCCCGCACCTTGAATGGACGCACGTGAGGTTACGCATGTAGGAGAGGCAATTGACATCGTCCATACCGAAGCCCCTCGCATTCAGGCAAGGTGTACCGTCCTCTGTCACACCCCTGAGAAGACGCTCAAGTTCATGCATGATGCCACTGATATCCCGCAAAAGCTTAGGAGTATCAGCCAACGAGTCTTCATAGCTGAACCCTGACTTGCTGTGCGAGTGCTTGGAGTAGTCGATGTCACGCGGATGGCAAAGTCGGGCAGGGGAACCTTCACAATTCGAGGGCGATGCAGCTGGGCAACCACCGACCTGCAACGACCGAACCACTCATTGATATCGGCCCTCCCAGTCGCTGCAGCGATACGGCGATCTCCCTTCGTAATTCCTGTGGCATAGGAGCAATTTCCCATGGACTCGGTAAGCCCTTGACGCCGTCAGGTGGAGGAACTCGCTCACCTTCCAGCACAGGCAGGCTCTTCTTGCCAGTAAGCTGCACAGGCCCATCGGACGGATCATAGCCGTAGCCATCTTTCTTTGCTGAATCTGCCACCTGCCCATGGCCGTATACCTGCTGCTCATAAGGCACTTTCAGCCAACCCGGCACCCAGCACCAGCCGAACTCGACTGCAGAACATGCAGTGGTCATACATGTGTAGCTTCAGGCCTGGGTGGGAGCTGGCATTACCAGCCATTAGCCGCACCATCAGAGGCGCCTGCCCCAACCCAAGTCGCTGAGCAAGAGAGGCCACTCGTCTGGTGCCATGGGCGAAAAAACTAACGCTCCTACGCGCCAAGACTTGAGCCAAACCGGCTTGAGTTAAAACAGCTCGGCGCAGCGCGCTGGAGGACCCAAGACTGTGCGTACGCAGGTTCCTGCCCTGACGACTTCAGATCTGGCCTACGACACCGCGCGAACCGTTCAACATTGGACCACCTCCGCAATAAGAGGGCCCAAACACGAGCCCCCGCGAGGGCGCTAAACCTTGAAATGCACGGTAGCGTCGGACGTCGCACCGAGACGGCGCCGTAGCCTGCCATTTGAAGAGAGGCGGCGGGGGGATCGGACAGGTCTGGGAGAGCAAATAATCGGGCCCACAAGCCGTTTGGTGACGGACCGCGTGGTGACCTCATATTCCCCAACGACCTTGCTGCGCGGACCGTCGCCGCACGGCTTTGGGACCCTGGAGGCCCAAGTCGCCCGAGACGTCTTCGGAGAACGACCCGAATCCCAAATAGCGCGGTGGCCACGAATCTCCACTGACTCACCACGCGGTGTAGTCACCGCACTCATTGGGGGATACTGGACATCTGGTTTTCGGGTCGTAACTCGGATCTCCAGCGCCCGTCTGGGACGATCCGGACACGCCCGGAACGCCCTCGGCGAGGCGCAACTGCAGGAAGGCACCCGAGGCTAGAAAATCTCTGGAAGCCGACGAAAACGTCCGAAAACCTCAAACGGTTTGAACCTCGAACTTTTCGGTCACCACACCGTGTGGGGGCTCCCGCAAGGAGGCGGGCTGGCAGGGGAAAACGCGCGTGGCCAGACCGCCACGACGTCGGCCATGCGGACTCGCCCTTCGGCATCGCCATGCGCAGGCGCCAGGGTGAAGATCGCCCGCGCGTCCTCTGGCTGCCACAATTCTCCCACTCGGTCTACCAACGCAGATACGCTTCTCTATCTCTCTGTATATGTATATATATATATATATATATGTATATATACACAGCTCAATACCCCTCTCTCTGTCGCTTCCTCACTCTCTCTTTTTTTTTTTTTTTTTTTTTCTCTCTCTCTCTCTCTCTCTCTCTTTTGTCTCTCTCTCTCTCTCTCGTTATTCCCGCTCTATCTGTCGTGTTCTATGGTGTTGCGCGGGAGCCTCCGTTATTATTCACGTATTCCCCTCCCTCTCTATCTCTCTCTTTTTTCGGGTGATATATCATTATCCTTCTCTCTCAGTCTCTCTCTCTCTCTCTGTCTGTCTATCTGTCCGTTTGTCTGTCTGTCTGTCTGTCTGTCTCTGTCAGCCTGTCTCTCTCTCTCTCTCTCTCTCCCTCTTTCTCTCATTATCATTCTCCCTCTCTCTCTCTCTTGATCCCCACGTTTCCAAGCCAACTTCGAATTGATGCAGCACGGTAAGAATGGAGTGAGCCTGAATCCCACCTTCTTCTCCTTTAGGGCGTGAGTGGTTTAGCGAATTTCTTCTTCCAACCCCCCCTTCTTCCCCTCCGGGGAGGGGTTGATCACTGCTCCTTAATAATATACACCCCCTCCCCCCCCGACTGTGGGCCAACCCGGGACATGCCAACCCCCCTTCACCATCCCTGTCAAAGAACAAAACAGAATGCACGTTGCCTCTAAATCTGGACCCCTGGGTGGTCCTGTGTGCCTGCCCGCTGCAGTTGAAACGTCCCACATGGCGATGAGCGATCGCGTGCTCCCTTCCTCTGGTCTCGCAAAGCTTGCTCTTCCTCTGGAGCGGTTCCTAGGTCCCTCCGGGCCGGCTTGTTCCCTCTTTCTGTTCCGGCTTCTGGCGTGCGCTCGTCGGGCCTCTGGTCGCTCTGGCTCTCGGCTGTGCCGGCTTCTGTGATTGGCAGCGTGGGGGGGCTGTCTCGCGGGTGCTTCTGGGGGCCCAGGGCGGTCTCTCGTTGCTGCATTTCCCGCCTCCCTGGGGGGGGGCTGCAACTGCAGAGTGCCCTGGGGCCTGCAGTTGCTCATCCGGACGGGGCTGGTCGGCTCGTGGGTTGGGCCAGGAGGAGTCGACGAGTGCCCTGAGTTGGCTGGTGTCTGCTGTGACCTCCCTGATCGCTGAGTCTGGAAGGACATCGAGGCCAGCCGTAAGGATAGCACCGAGTGCTTCATCCGTTAGGGGCTGGAACGGGATTCTGGGGCCCTCCTCGCTGGAGCTGCTTCCTACGGTCGCTTCTATCCTTGCGCAAGCTGAGTCCGCTGTCAGTGCTGCCGTTCGAGAGCGAATCCTTCTGCCCGTTCGGTTTCTGGTTCCAGGGAGAGGGCTGGGGCGCCCAAGTAGGCCGTAAAGGGGGCCAACAACCTGTCGGTGAGAGAGAGAGCCGCGCTAGCATCCCTCGGACCTGTCCTTCTAGCTGAAGCATGGAGGTACCCCAGGCCACTGCGCTTAGAACGATCCTCCACCTGTTCCTGTCGGGGCACCCCTGCCCTTCCCAGCGGGGCGGGGGGCCGAGGGGGGCTAGTACATCTTTCGCGCGGCTTAGAAGTGTGGCCCAGTCCGACTCCATGCAGGGTGGAAGGAAGGCGCCGGTCCTGGGGTCTCCTCTGCCGAGCGGGTCGCTGTCCCTTCTGGTGGGCGCGCTGCTGGGGGGGTCTCGTCCTTGGCTCAATGTCGGCGCCTCTGTGCTCCGCGCGAGCCGGCTCCCCTGGCCCTGCGCGCTGCCCCCGGGCCAGGCTACTTCCTTCTGCGCGCTGCCTGTCCGGGGGCATCCCATGCACACGCTGTGGCATGCTGCCTTCGCCCTGGGCTTCCTGCCGCGGGGAGGCGGGTTCCTGAGAGGGGGTGGCATTGAGGTCCACGGGGGTGGGATGGTCTTGAGTGTCCCCCGGGCTTCTTTCCGGGAGGGGGTCTGGCAGTGAACCGCTGCTGCCTCCGTTCGGATTTGTCCTGGCGTCTGGGACACTGCTGCTGCTCGGCCGAATGAGGGTATTGTTACTGCCCCAGGCGGGGGGGGGGTGCCGGAGGGTGGCCCTTCCGTGGGGACGCATGCGTTGTCTCCATGCGGGTTATCGGCGCGCTGCCGTGCCGGGGCGTCCCCCGGCGCCCGAGTTGGTGTAGGACCCCCCGGGGATTGGGCTTGCCGGGAGCCGCCTGGGGGTGGGTTCCCAAGGTTGGATAGTGTGGCTGCTGGGCGCCTGCACTATGTCGGTTCTGCCGGGCTGGCTCCCGGTTGCCGTTTGTCTACCAGGGGTGCGGCTGCGCCTTTGCTGCGCCGTGGGGTCCTGCGCGGGTCTGGTACCAACGCTGCCCTGGTTATTGGCTTGGGTGCCCCTGGGCGCCCTTCTGGGTCTTGGGACTCTGCCTTTCCCCGTGAGTCGCACTGTGTAGTCTGTCGGCGAGGGCGGTTAGTAGGGCCTCGGTGCCAGGGGCGAGAGACTGGTGGAGCCGTCGGTCTCGGCGCCCCGGCTTCCGGGGACCTCGAGCCAGGGGTGGCGCGCGGTGTGCGTGGGGTCCGGTTCTGGAGCAAGCCACTGCGCGAATGGGAGTTGCCTATAGTGGTCTCCTCCCTTATTCCTAGTTCACCGATGAGCTGAAAGACATGGTCTCTGTCTATGGTGCTAGGGCTTGCCAGTTGGAGTATCCATATGGCAGCGAATAGGTCCCAGTTATAGCGAAGAGTTGGCCTGCCCTCGCCCTGCCACCGCTGCTCAAGGACCATTCTGGTCTGTATGCCTCTCGCAAGGTCGTGGATGCTTTGTTCTCTTACGCAGGCCAGAAATCTCCCGAGCATGCCGCGGGCAACCAGGACCGCGTGCGTCGTCTTCAGCCCTTACTAGTTGCACGCCGGTGTCCGTTGCTGCGCGGTTCCTGTGCATGAGCACTTCCGCCAGGTCGGGAAAGGTTCTGGGGCGGGATGGCCCCGGCAGGGGCTCCACAGCAGCCCTCCTTTTGGGTGGGAGGGAGGGGCTAGTAGACTGGCTGGTGTCGATTCCCAAGTCGGCTGGCGTAGGCGTGGACGCCGGCGTGGCATCGACCTTGGCCAGATGTACTGGGCCGTGCACCAGCTGCAGGTTCACGCGGGCTTGAGGGCGGTCCGCTCCTCGATTTGCCGCTCTCAGGTCTGCGTCGGCCGGAAGGGCGACTGTGACCCGCGTGGGGTTCGGGGTGTACAGGCATCCGCTCTCGCCGCTCGTCGTTATGCCTACCGCTCCACCTGCGGCGATGGCGGCAGTCAGGTACTCTCCCGGGTGGAGGATGGTGTGGAAGTCTCGTAGGCCCTCCTGGTCTCCGGTTGGTCTCCTGCGGGCCATTGGGGCACAGCTGCTCATGGCCGCCTCGACGTCGCGGAGCCAGTCCTCGTTGAGGGGTGGGGGTGGGGCCATCGTGTTGGCAGGGAGATCTCTGCCGTCTATTCCCGCCGGTAGTGGCCAGACTCTGGTGTGCAGCTGTGCTCCTGGGGAGCCTACTGCCGTGGAGAACATCCTTAGTGCGCCGTGGTTTGGCATCCAAGGATCCGGGCGCATGTGCCGAGTCTGCGTCGTTCCTATATGTGCGCCGCGTCGGTCGTGGGATGTGATTTCGAGGATATGTGGCTGGACTTCCCTTCTTGGGGCCTGCCGCACGGCTGCCTGGGCGAGGGCTTCGACGTGCTCTTGGCGGTCGCGAGAGGCCCTCGAGTCTCTTCTCTCGAGGGGGTGGCTGGGAATATGCGCATGACTTGTGATCTTACTGCGATGCAGCTCGCCCCGAAGAAGGCTGCCGCCACGGTGTCGGCTGATGTCAGCCGCATGCGCACCTGAGTCATGTGTCTGTAGTCTTCGGAGTCGGGGAACCATGCGAAAACTTTGGAGACCTGCTCTACAGCCCCCGAGCCGACGGTGGCTTCTATGGCGCCTATGACGTCTTGGTGTCTGGATTGCCCAAGGTCTGCTAGGTTCCATCTAAAGTGGAATCCATCCTCCGGGTCGGCCAGTCTGGCATATGAAGGGCCCCCGTTCCAGTCTCCTCCCAGGAGGATTCTTCTGGGGCTGAGGGCTGGGCTGCCGCGGCCGCTCCCAAATATTCCAAGCAGCTCTTCCCTGAGGTGCCTTAGGATGGGGGCTGCTATTCTCTCTGGGATCTTCAGTAAGAGCAGCCCCCCTCCACATGAGCCGACTCTGTATCCGAAGGCCGCTGCGGCCTCTGAGGCGATGGAATGGGCCAGGCAAGTGGCCGCATTCAGCACTGAGACGT